AGCAAGCCGTAAGAATTGCACGAATTATAACAATCTGTTTTTGTTTTTTTTAAGCAGCTAAATTTTCCCCTGGATCTTTTTCTGGATTGTCATTGAGCTATATATAGAGAGGACTTTGAAAGGGCCTTTTAAGACCAGTGTGGTCCTTTAGAACTGAAACTGCATTTCCCGGCCTGCCACTAACATCCTCTTAAGTTTCAAGGGTCAGTATAGTGTAGCAGTCATGGGGTTAAACTAAAAATGAAAGGCCCAGGTTCAAGTCTGTCTTAAATCATTGAAGGGTATTGGGAGATTGAGCCTGTCTCTCTGTGTGTGCCTCCTCCCCTCCTCTCCCTTTCTCTCCTCTCCCCCCCTCCCTCTTCTCCCCCATCTCACAAAGTTGTGACAAGACAGGCTGTATGTTTTGCATAGGTATACATGCATACAGAAAAAAAACACTAGATCCTTGTTGGAAACCCCCCTTCCTAACCTCCCCGTGTCACCCCTATGCTGTTTAATTGGGACTCCCTCCACTTCCTGTTTAATAAGCTACATGTGTTGGAGTTCCAACAATGACCCGGATTGCCGTCGGTAAGAAATTTGGTTACATGACTTCACAATTTATGACCACATCACGTAGCAACCAAAATCCTAGTCATAATTGCCTTCATAACTTGAGGACTTCCCGTATTAGCTCTTGATTATGTGTGAGAGACTCCCATTTGCTGGATGAAAAAGAAAGCACAATGTATATGTTCAGATACACTTTTGCTGTTTTCCCCTTCTTGGTGCCCTTCAAATGTAGAAACGCTGATTGGAAATTCTTGGAAGTTGTGATACAGCACATCTGGAGGCTGCTAAATTGAGGAAAGCTGGCTTGGATTCACTTGCAACCCCCAGTTCTTAAATACTGCCAAGATAGTTGGAGAAAAAAACTTTGCTAGCCAAGTGCAGTAACTTCTTTTTGGGGAACATCTTGTACTTTCGGGAAGAGCCATTTGTTTTGCAACATAACTGACTTGATAACTGTGTTGGCTTTCAAAGTTTGTGTATTGTACCTTCTACAAAAATGAATGATTGCTAACAATTCATAATATTCCTGATGCCTTTTGTCCAAGTGAAAGATCAATAAGGATATTTATCAAATGGGATATTGATCTGGGTATAAAAGATGTGTGTTTCTCATTGAGAGTATGGGACAGAATAGATGCTATCTAAGGACTTTATAACATGGAAAACAATTGAAATATGTATGTATGTATACACACACACACACACACACACATTATATATATTTCAATTGTTTTCCATGTTATAAAGTCCTTAGATAGCATCTATCCTGTCCCATACTCTCAATGAGAAATTCATCCCCTTGACTATTAGAAATTGAATCCTCTATTTTACTGACCTTTTTAAAAATGGAAACCAAAGCAGAGCTTCCAAAACCATTTTTATACAATTTAAAATTCTGTTTTGCCTTGGAATTTCCACAGTTGCAGCCTTTATACAGTAGTACCTTATGTTAAATATTTACAGTTTCTAGTATTTTGAAGTATAGCTAGATTTAGTGAAAAAACACTTTCATGTATCTTCTTGGAATTATTTACAATATCACGGTATGTTTCTGTAGCTATGCTGATTAGCTAAACTGAAAAAAAAGGGATCAGCACTATTTCTTTTCCCAATGGGCCTCGTATAACAAAACATCTTGGTCTGCCCCTATTCCTTTTTGAATAGAAGATTGTTCGGATCAGATATGCAAATGTCTCAAATCTCCAGGCAATTTACTAGACAGTTCTTACTGATTTGGGATAATGTCAGGTATGTAACAATCGAATCCACATATGAAGAGTTCCAATTAACTACTTTATTGCTTATACCTGTTTCACAGGAATCTTCCCAGACTGGCAGTTTGCACCTAGGCCAAACCAGATAAGATTCAGTGGCATTCAAAGGAAGTAAGGTCTGCCCTCTTGTGCCTACATAAGGATTCTGGACTAATTACCTGCTTGACTCCTCCCCCTGGCTCAGCCAGTTTCTCTCCAACAGACAACTTGGGAAGGGTTTCTAAGTACCAATCCTTTACTCCACATCCCACCTTCCCAAAACAAGGCAGCTTAAAATATAAGCAAGAAAACAACATGGTTTTGATATGAAAGCTGGGACCTCAGTGCTCATATAGTGTCCAGTTCCTTAACTGTAAGCCTAATCCTCCATCACTGGAAGAGGCCTGCTACAAACTCCCTCCTGCTAAAGAATTATGGCAGGCAGAGTCCAGGAGAAACCTTTTTGCCTTGGCCAGACCCTGTGAAACTCCCTACCACCTGAAGTGAGAACTGGTCCCATGTGCTTTTGGCCTTCTGGACGGGTATTAAAACTTGGTTTTACTAGTTGGCATGGACTGTGCAATAGCAATAGCATTTAGACTTATATACCGCTTCATAGTGCTTTACAGCCCTCTCTAAGCAGCTTTACAGAGTCAGCCTATTGCCCCCAACAATCTGGGTCCTCATGTTACCCACCTCGGAAGGATGGGAGGCTCAGTCAACCCTGAGCCTGGTGAGATTTGAACTGCCAAATTGCAGTCAGCCAGCAGTCAGCAGAAGTGGCTTGCAGTACAGCACTCTAACCACTGCACCACTGAGGCTCACTACTGGAGTTGATTGACAGGATAAAACCTCATCCCTGTACTGTCTGTCTCTTGGTTCCTGGTTTTTTTTGCATGTTTTTAAACTTTAATTTGCATAGTTTTAAAGTTTTAGTTGCTTTTCTGTTTATCTTTTTATGATCTGTAGGCCATCCAGAGTTGCTTTATCAGGAAGGTGGGTGACATACAAAGTTAATTATTTCTCTTTTACATGCAACTCTACTGTTAGGTTTTGAAATTCAAGAAAAAACTGTGTCTATGCTGCAATTGCCCCATTGTGGATCTCTAGAAAATAATATTTCCTTTCCCCCCTCCCCCTCTCTGTTCCCTTCCCTTCCTTTTCTTGCAGTGTACATTGGGTGCTTTTCTGATTTATAGCCAGTGAATTAGCCACCAGTTGCTTAGAATGATTTGTTTATTGATTGTAGAAGCCATTTAATTCCAAGTGTGGCATTTTTTTTGGTCGAAATCATTATTGCGTTCACTGTTGACAGTTTATGAGGAATGACATTGCTAATATGATAATACAGCTTGATTCAAAGATAGGCCATGTGGCAAGATGATGTAGCCCTCACCTTGTTTTCTCGGTTGGCTTTTGGATTTTAATAAATCATGTGGGAGCTTAGTTGCATGCTGCCTCGAAGTGCAAACAGTGGCAAGAAAGAATTGTCCATTTAAATGCAGTGGTCAGTCTAATTTCCATGACTATTCTCAAAGGCTTGTGTGGGTTTTTCTCAGTTATGGTCAGACGGTGTCACTCTTGAGAATTGTAGCTTAATTCATTTCAGTGATGGAAGAATGTCTTGGATAGTAGTAGTAGTAATTACTTTCCATAATGTGGTCGTCTTTTTTTCTTTTTGCCCAAATAGTAAATAACGTTTTTTGTTTGATATAATCCATATATCTTCCTCCTGGTTTAGAAGATACTGCAGTTACATTGCCTCAGTAATGAAACTAGTATGATGCCAGTGAGTAACTGAGCCATATCTAATTGAAGATATAGTATAACAAATAATCAGAGTTGGAAGGGACCATGTAGGTCATCTAGTCCAACCCCCCGTCCAAGTGGGAAACCCTACAACCATTTCTGACAAATGACAGTCCAATCTCTTCTTGAAAGTCTCAAGTGATGGCGCTCCCACAACTTCCAAGGGCAAGCTGTTCCATTGGTTGATTGTTCTCACTGTCAGAAAGTTCCTCCTTATTTCCATCTGTGCAGACTCAGAATTAATTACTAATATGCAGTTAATACTTCCTTGTGATTGTGATATGGAGTGCAGAATGGCAAAATTTCTCACATGTTAAGGGAAGGAAAGCAAAGTATAATGGCTCAGTTCCATAGCTCTACTTTTGGGGAACCCTTTTTGCACAGATAAGTGCTTCCTTCTTTATGTGCTGGGCTACAACTTCCTATCATCCACAGCCATGTCCTTCGAGATATATTTACAAGTTTCACATAAGTTCTTTCTGTGTTTCTTCTCTATTATTGTGTAAATGCAATTTGAAGACTGAAGAATATCTACAGGTAGTCCTTGCTTTATGATGTTTTATGACCATTTGAATTTATGACAACTACAGAATGGGTGCTTTATGGTCTGTTGTAAATGGTTCGCTACCTCCCTCCACAGGCACATGGCCAGGAGGTTGGGTGGGTTATCTTTACAACCCATCATGACATTCTAAGCTCATGTCACAGTGATTTGCAATGTTTTTGCTAATTTCCCACAAAATTGCCCATTCAATGGGTTCACTTAACAACCACGGAGTTTGTTTAACGACTCTGACTCTGCTTAACAGCTGCCAGAAAAAAGGCCAGAAATTTTCTTCTGTTCACCAGGGTGCCTTGACTTAAGACCTTAATCATTTACAACTATAATTCTGGGCTCAATTGTGGTCATAAGTCAAGAACATGTCCTCCCATTTCTGCCACCGTCAGTGATGTTTTGGATCTGGGGTGTGAGGACAAACCATCTGCTTAATCCATCTCAATTTTATTAGAATTGACTCCACTCTAGTTGGAAAAGCAGGACATAAAAATGGCAAAAAAGGAAAAAGGAGAAGAGGTAGCACTGGAACTGAGTTATGCAGGAGGACTGGAAACGCTAATGATGAATGGACAATTGCAATTTTTTTCCTTGTGGCACCAGAGATGTGTGGAGAATGACTTATTTTGATCTCATTCCTCTGTTATTTCCATCATCTTTTCAGTGCTGTTCCCTTGTTGCTTCCTTCTTTTGCATTGCACTCTGTAGTCCAAAATGCACCGAGGGATGAAATGCAGGATTTTCAGGTTGTTTCTGCTGCTGAATAATTGGTTCTTTCTTCTATTCTTTCTCTCTCCCTGTCTCTCTCTCCCCCACTTCTCTTTCTGCAGAAGGACGGATGCTGATTCAAGACATTCCTTCCTTGGCCAGCAGAGGGCATCTGGAGAGCACATCTGACTTAGTTATGGACCCCACCTACTACAGCAGTTTATACCAGCCATCCCTGTATCCTTATTACAACAACCTCTACAACTATTCTCAGTATCAAATGGCTGTGGCCACCGAAACCACCTCTGGTGATATGGGAAGCCCATTGACAGGGTCACCTGTTAAGAGCAGCCTCCGAAGCCTCCCAACCACTTATATGTCAAGCCAGTCAGGAAACCAGTGGCAGGTACTATATAAATGAGTAAAGGCGGGGCCTTGTTTGCTAAATGAAGATTATTCTGAGTTTTCTTGTGAGAATCACTGGAATTGCTGTGGTTCTACAGGTTCAGAGCACATGACCTCTTCCCTAACTTGATACTCCCCAGGGGTTTGGGGATAAAACTGCCATTATTCCCAGTTATTATTGCTAATTGTTAGTGATGATGGAACTTGTACTTCCAACACTTCTAGGGAGGAGCAGATGTGTTAAAAACAGACAAACATAGAATTGTCATGCTTAATACTCTTTTAAGTTCTTCCCTCCTCAAAATAGGTATATGTTAATTAAGATTCGGTCTTCAAATTTATTGGAAATTTGTGTTTATCAACATCTCGGGAATCATTCTCTTCATTGTTACTGGTTTTGTATTTTTACATAAATGTAACTAGAATGGAGTGTTTGACCAGAACTGAGGATGTTGGTTCAAATTCCCACTTAGCCATTAAGCACATTGGTTAAACATTGACCATTGCTCACCCTAGTAGATCCCATGGAATTGGTATGCATAAAAACTGTGTGTGTATGTGTGAAAATCATAGTATTTGTGCAGAATAAAGGAATAAGCTGCTGTTGATCTTGATAAAGACTACCCATGTTACTTCCTTATCTTACATTTATTATGAAAACTGGGTTTGCATCAGTGGGAACTCTACTTGGATATAAACCCCACCAAATAAAAGATAGTAGGCTGAAAAGCATAAAAAATTACATGATATACTGATGCAGACCATGCCTCTGTCTAGTATGATTGGCAGTGGCTGTTTGATATTTCAGGCTGAAATTTTTCCCACTTCTCCCTGGAGATACAACCTGGGCCTTCAGGCTACAGAACCTCCATTCTACCACTTGCCTGCAACCTTGGAGTAATGATACTTCATGCAGTTAGGGACCTATTCAACTAGGAAGAGCTGTTTTACAAAACTTAACCCAAAGAGAAATTGTAACACCTTTTACAAAAAGGTGATTTTCAGGAATAGGAGTCCCAGTCTCAGGCAGATGACCTTTTAAAGCAGAGGCCTCCAAACTTGGCAACTTTAAGACTTGTGGACTTCAACTCCCAGAATTCTCCAGCCAACATAGAAGTCCACAAGCCTTAAAACTGCCAAGTCTGGAGACCCCTGTTTGGAGATGCTATAAGCTTCCCCTTCTTTGAAAGGACAGTGATAAAGGAAAAAGCTGTTCGGAGGCTTCAGACAGTGATGCTGCCTGTATATGAATTACACAAGTCTTTATATTTAAAAAAAATATATGTCCCAAACTACCAGTTTCATTTTCTAAGGCCTCTGTTCTTATTTCCTTCCTGTGGCAGCAATTGGGAAGGCAATATGCCATGGAAAGCTAAAAGGAAAAATTAATTGGGTGTACCAGCAGGTATATTACATTATTAATTGCAAGAGGTGTTTGAGCTTGTTGACCTAAACAACTTGTGTGTGAAGGATTTGAGAAAACTCAGGCATCATTTAAGCTCTTTAGAATGTGATGACTGAATGCAGTTGCTACCTCAGCTAAGTAGCTGTTACTCCCATCATCTCTACCCTCAAAGCTCACCTCAGATGGGAGTCACCTAAAATGATTGAGGTGGCCCGTGCTAAACATGAGGGTAGACGCGCACTAAAGGAGTTGACTGCATGGGAGGCCCTGTTTCAGAGCCCCACATCCCTAGTGGCAGTTGATGTTGGTCCAAAGCTCTTTTACAGAGCCTGTAGAATCCTTATAATGGCCGATGATCAGAAGCGCTTGTTCCTTCAGCAGTCCCCCAACATCTTGTGAATTCTGAAAACTGCAGACCCAACATAGGGAAAGGCTAGTCTTAAGAGGTGTATGTAGAAATGTTAAGTCATGATTTTAAACTATGGTTTGTTGAATAAACCATAGAGACATAGCTCCTGTTATTAATACAGGTAGTCCTTGACTTACAAAAGTTCGATTTACAGCAGTTTGTTTAGTGACTGTTCAAAGTTACAACAGCACTGAAAAAGTGACTGATGACCGTTTTTCACACTTAACAGCCATTACACAGCATCCCCATGGTCACGTGATCAAAATTCAGGCGCTTGGCAACTGACTTGTATTTATGACGGTTGCAGTGTCCCGAGGATCACATGACCACCTGACAATCAAAGTCAGTGGGGAAGCCAGATTCACTAACTTAACAATTGCAGAGATTGACTTAACAACTTAACAACAACTTTACAACTTTTCTTGCCATAGTTGTTAAACAAATCATAGAAGTTGTTAAGTGAATCTAGCTTTCTGACTTAACTTGTCAGAAGGTTGCAAAAGGGGGTTGTATGATCCTGGAACAGTGCAACTGTCAAGTATGAGTCAGTGCCAAACATCTGAATTTTGATTACGTGACCATAGGGATGCTGAAGTGGTCGTAAGTATAAAAAAATGGTCATGTCGCTTTTTTCCCCAATGCCATTGTAACTTTGAATGGTCATTAAATGAATTGTTGTAAGTTGAGAACTATCTTTACTGTAGTCACCAAAGCAAATAATGTGTTGTTTGAAAGTAGCACTAACCCCAGTGTGTGGCTGCACTTTCAGCAATCGTGGTTTGGGCGTGGGTTCCAAGGATTTCAGCAAAGGAACTTAAAGGCCACAGTTTGCCCCACATCTCTGTAAACCTGAAAAGTAGCAGTTCTTCAGATTCTTGAACAATTTGTACTAAATCCCCCCAATCAAATTAAAATTATTCTACTAGCTTCGTCTTTTACATAATGCTTACACAGAATATTTCATAAAAATGGTGTGTGAGACCACTGTCCAAGTTTAACGTCAAGGAGAGGGTAAAAGCATTGCAGATGTGCTGGTATACACTAGTTAGTTGTTCCTATTTGGTTTTTCTTGACATTGCTAAACCAGACCAGATGGTCCCATCTATGGTTGGCTTTAGCATTATTTCCAAACCAGGATTGTTTTCCCCTATAAATGATAGTCATAAGCTAAGAAGAAGAAAAAAAGGTTCTGGCTTATTGAGAAAAATGCAAGCCAAGATTCATATTGATTTATTCAACATAATGGTAAAAAAGCCACCGAAGGAACTTTCTTGATTTTTCTTAACTCTCCCAAGTGAGAGAAGAAGCTACATGGGAATGATCAAGCAAGGGCATGTCAGCTGGATCATTTCTGCTGAATGTCGTTTGAACTAGTTCAAAAACTGCCTTGAAACACCTTGCGTAGATGAAATATTCGCATATGAAATAGAACTGTAGAACGTTGTCAGATATGTTCTACTAACTGAATGCCAGCGTTGTTTTTAAATTAGTCATGACTAATCTATAAAGTAGCCAATTATAATTTAAACATTGGATTTAATATTAACATGCAGTTGAATTATGTCAGCAACTTGAATCCATTCTGGTTTGTCATTCAGACAGCATATACTGTACACTGTACAACACAGATTTATGCTAAAAGTAACCTAATGTTTCTGACAGCTCAAGTGTGACATGAATATAATCCATATTGCTTAGAGAAACTAATCTAAGTTGTTTATTTTCCGATACTGCTGATAGGACTATATCTCTTGGTGTCACAGTGGTTGAGATTCTGATGTTAACGTATTGTTTGTGGATCACTGCTTTTGTCTAAAAGAGTAGATTGGAAGAGAATAGCAAAGGTTAATTGAGTTTGTCTGTCAAGGCGGGACAGATACAGATGGTCCTTTTGTATGAAAATTACCTTTTCCACTTAGAAGCCATGGGAGGCAAGCACTGTGTATCTTGTAATGGTGAAAAAAGTCACTCAAGGCTTTAGAATTAAAATTTAAAAACAATTACGGTATGAAGATGCTCAGTGGTTGTGATATTCCTTATTGTATGATGATTCCATATAATTCTGAATTCCAGACCAGTTTCTCCAGTTTGGGCAATCTCCTGATATATTGTCTTCAAATTCTTGACCCTCACCAACAGCCATATTGTCTGGGATTCTGGAAGTTGAAATCTGCAGAATTCAAGAGCGTCGGTTTGGGATAGACTACCTTAGAACAAGGCTTGTAAACTCCCGACCCACAGGCTGGATGTGTCACGTGTTGGTCAAGCTTATGCCCGGTTTAGCGAAGGGGAAAAAAGTCCCGATATGTCACATGACACCACCGTGATGACGCCAGTTTGACACCTTGCCCTCGCAGGAAACTTTCTTAACTTTCTTAACATTTAAGATATATTGAAACTTTCCAAATTCTAGCAAATTTGCTTGCTAGTATTTACCATTCCAACATAGCTGGATGGTGTCTTATTAGAGAATGTTTCTTAGGTGTTTACTGCAGTCAGTCCATAAGAGAGGATAATATGAGAAAATATGATCAGCGATCAACAATATGTTTAGTTCAGGAAGAGGCACAAGATTCTTGTACATGGATTGATTTTCTTTGAGAAGCTTTGTTGAAACAATAGTTGGCAGAAGTAACATCCGATTGTAATGTGTCCAGTGATGGATTTAGTAATATCTAGGATGTACAAGCCAACTTTTCTGAATCTCATCTCTGCCTTGATTTTGAAACAAGAATAGATAAGAGGAAGGTTACAAAAGTCATAATTTATTTGGTATAGTTGCCTTGAAAGTGTTTATTTCTTAGATTGGAAGGTTAAGGTGCCTCTCTCTTAAATCTTATTGCCTTCTTCTCTTATCCCTAGGGCTAATTATGTATTTTTGAAACATACATGACACATTGAAGCATGAATGTTCATTGTCAGGCTAATAAGAGTTCACGGTCAGCATTAAGTGTTTATCTGGGTCTGTTTCATGAATATCATGCTAAGGTCAAACATTTTAATGTTTGGCTAGTTCATTATTGTTATTATAAAATAGAGTAACTAAAACTCTATAAAAAGGAAACCTTGTGGTTCAGATTTACTGTGTTTTATATATATTCTAAATATTTTAATAAAAACAAAAACAAAAGCTTTATAGATTTTTCTAGTGGTTAATTCAACACATCGTTTGCAGAACCTTGGCTCGCCTCTGTCTGTTGGTCGTACTGTGGTTCACAGGCTTGGTGCAGATAATAAGATTATAAACCATGTCTTTCTAGGCAAGGACCACATACTATTAGTAATAGTTGTAATAATTCACTGGATCCTGGGAAATTAGTTGGCTTTTTTTAAAAGAGTAAGAAATGGGAGAAACCACAAGAAGGATCAAAAGGAAACAGGTCATTGCCTACATAAGGTAAACAAAGTAGACATTCTTTAAGCACAGGTGGGTAGTGATGCAATTTATCACTTCTGAAATTATATTATCCTTTTACTGTTATTATTTTTAGAGGGTGCACACAAAAAACAGAATGAAATGGGCTTTTCCTCACAACAAAATAAAAGATCATGAACAGCAGGCTTGAAAAAACACCCAATACAAAAAGGTTGTCCTTAGAAGCATCTCTCCAATTTTATTCCTGGTTGCAAAATAATTTCCAGGGTCATGATTCAGAGTTCTAGTAAATTGGTAACCTCCTGGACAGGTAGTCCTCAATTTATTATTAATTATGTATATATGAATAACAGGAATATGTATCAAGCAGTAGGTGGCGAATATACCTAATACTTTTGCCTCTTACTTCCCCCTTAACAACAACCCTGCGAGATAGTTGAGGCTGAGAGAGAGAGAGACTTTTGCCTGGTCTTACAAAATTCAGCAGAACGTGAAGCCTGAAAATCACAACCATATAAAGAATGCCCGTTGAAATGCACAATTCTCCCATGTACACCTTTTCTTTGTGTACTCATACACGAGTGCTATTTTACTTTGCTGCAGTTCATATCCTGTAGTTGCACTCTGCAGTTTGGAAACATGGAAATTTTTAGTCTTTCTGATTTGGACAAGATCTGTAACACATTCATCCGAGATACGCAAATCTTTTGCTTTCATGCAGCCAGAATGTCTTCTTGGCTAAAAGGTTTTTGAGGTTTGCAACGGGATATCTCATTTAGAAATTAAAGCTTTGCGCGACGTTTTTACGCTTCTTACATCAAATTTGTAAACAGCTTATATTTCCTCGCAAACTGAAATAACTTTGCCTGAGTATAAATAATTTGCTTGCTTGACAGCCCTGCAATAAAGTGTTGATCATTTTGAGAATCTAAACACTGTATGATGGTAGGAATCAGGGCAATATGCTGTCCTAATATCCTCACTTCCTTTTTACCGGAGACAACAAATATATTTTTATTGTGATCTCCGCATGTGAAAGTTGGAAACTGGATTGTTTGAAAGGGACTTGAAAGGACTCCAGCCATAGCTTTTTCCTCATACCACTTTGGTCTTTTCCTCATTACTAATCAAGGAAGGGCTGGAGGCATTTGAAGCACTATCCAAAACCTGCAAAAACTTGAGCAGCCACAAGATACTTTATTTATTTATAAAATTTTATTGGCCACCCATTTCACCTCAGGGTAACCCTGGGCAGCTTAGAATAAAAATAAAATAAAAACGAAGGTAAACATGAATAGTGTTGGCGGGGTAGCCTTTATTTCTGCGAAGTCCTGTGTCCGCCACTTCAGGCTTTCAGAATGCCTTTCCAGGGATGGGAACGATAACACTGAAGTTTTCGACATGGAAGTAATCAAACATTTCAGGACTAATATTTTCAGGCAGAGAGTTCCAGGGATAAATTCAGCGGGAGGAAAGCAGGAAAACTGGCCCCGTCCAATGCAGGTTTTCTTTCCTCACAACTTTGTATGATGTGATCTTTCTGCTGTTTCTCTGAACAGGTGAAAAGCCCAGAAGGCCGGCACAGCTTGAGTTCCCAATACAGGATGCATTCCTACTATCCCTCCAGCTCTTACTTGGGACAGAGTGTTGGAGCCCCTGCTTGTGTTCCCCAAATTTTTACTTTCGAGGAGAATCCTTCTTACTCTGAAACAAAAGCAAATGGTAAGCACCTTGTCAGCCTTCAAGGGAAGTGGTGTTGGGGAGTCTACCGAAAAGCCAGTGGTTGAACTTGGTGTAGTAGCAGGTAACATTGGAGATAGATAACATTTTATTAAAATTTTCTGAATGACTCTTAAAATGGTCGCTTACTTCCATTTTATGGTAATCATTTCTTCCCCTCTAGCATTATTCCTTCCTTAAGAGAATAAATATTTCCAAGTTTTGGTTTATGTTTGTGCTTAGGGACTTCTTGAAAATCTGTGTGGTTTTGCAGCCTGCAGCTGTTGGTATAGCACTAAATCCTTCTTCAACTTGAATAGTTTGCGAAATATAAATTGTTGGGGAGCAGTATTTTACTCCTCCTCCTCGACACCTTGCCCTCTATGTGTAGCAGACTGGTATATCTGGGAACTGATCTCCAACCAATCTGGAGGGCATCTAGTTGGAGAAAGGTGTTTGTAGGAATTTGAAGGAGGAGAATTGTAGACCTTGTGCATTTTTAAATTGCAAAAAATTCAGTGTTTTCCATCACTATTGACTCCTTGCCCAGACAATACTCCAGATTCTGATATTGTTCTCTAAGTTAATCCATCAATCAGCAACAGACAAGCAGGGAGATGTAATTTACAGAGCTCAAGCAGACTTTTTTCAGCTGTGACAAAGTATTTTTCCATAGCAGGGTGACCTGCCAGCCTGAGAAAGACAGGTACGCTTAGGAAGAGTGTGAATACAAAATCACCTGGCACACTTTCTGGGTGATCCTTCTAGCAGTTCCTTCGTCTTCCTAATACAATGGTCATTTCAGGTATTCTGTGTATGTTTCTATTTTAGAGGCAGACACCAGTCTCTCATCATCTCTGTGATTGCAATAAAAATGTAGAAAGTGTGGAACCTTATATATGTTTTGAAATCAAAATATAAGGATTTGAAGGGATACCCCTTGTTCATTCTCCCTTTATTTGCTGCCCCACATGTGAATGTCAGAAGTCTTTTAACAACTTTGTAGCCTAAAGATCTCAATAGGTGGCAGTACCTGGCAAACTTGTCTGGCACAGAAGTGAAAACAGCTGTGATTGTTTAGTTTTGGGTTTTGCTTATAGCTGTAGACCAGACTGGATGCAAAAAAAATAAAAAAATAGAAGAAGGCATTGATAAACCTCTTCCATACTGCTGCCAAAATGTATAAGTGGACATATCCATGAAGTTACCACTTTGAAGACAACCATATATTTTTAGCTTTTGTGGATTCCAACCTGGTTTATATTGATAGTCAGTTTTATTGCTGCCTCCGCATATCACAGATTGAAATATTGTGTTGAATACAAAATATAGCATCCTATAATTCAATATTTCAATCAGGTTTCTGTTCCTTAAAGTTATAGAGATGGGTGTTAAGTATATCACTTCCATTTCTCCCTTTCCCAGACCTTCAGATGCACCATAGCCCCAGTTGTTCCCTGGCAGCTGTTTTGAACCCTCACCAGAATCTATCAACACTCACTTCAACTGCCCAAAAATCAGTATCAGCCTTTTGCTAGGATTCTGCTCACCACATCTACCACCAAACAGAAGCGCCCTAGATAAATCAGCTAGTGTGTCTGTAAGCACAATAACCTTGAGATAGTTTGTGACTTTCTTATATGTATCCCTAACACTGATAATCAAGGATGACAGCACTGGGGAATGGGTCCTTTTTGTGCAGTTCTCTTAGGGCCTTTCTGTTCCTCACTATTCTTGAGGAAGCATAAAATTATATGGCTTGAAAGTTTGGCCTTATTGCTGATGGTTATCTTACTTTTGCTCTCAGACGTTGCCAATCACCTGGCTTCCTTCTTAGATAGTCATTCTGAAATTTGTTAGAGCAACAAATCAGATTAAAGTGTGATTTCAGATTAGTTCAGCATATCATTAAAACATTAAAAACAAAAGAATATTGTATCTCAGCTGTGTATTAATCAGGTTCATATCTTCTTAACTTGAGTGCAAAGTCAAGTAGCTGCAGAGACACAAGTTCAAGTCCACTCCATAACAGAAGCTCACCTGGGCTACTTACCCTAAAGCTAAGCTACCTCGCAGGGTCGTTGTGGAGAAAAACCAAAGGGAGTGCTTAGTATGCTGTCTTGAATTCTTGGAGTAAGAGCAAGATGCAAATCTATCAATCCATCAGTGATAGTAGCAGCCGGTCAAATATGACTGCCAGTAATCCTTGGAATTTCCCATCACAGTCATAAGTTGTGATGGTTGCAAGGAGGGTCACCAACCCAATTTTATGACTATTTTTAACGTCAGTTGTAAAACCAACCTTTCCTTTGCTCTGGGCCGATTTTGCTGAAAACAGGAATTAAATGCTGGGTTTGCAGTAAAACTGTCAGCAACATTTGCAGCATCTCACAGTCATGTGACTGCGCTTTCAGTACAAATGTTGCTTGAGTACCTACCATCTAGTCAGCCGATTGTCATCATCCAAACAAGAGGTGCCCAAGGCTTGGGTGATCTTGAGCAAGACCCGCCCGTCCATGAACAAGCCCAACTGGCAGACAAGATAGTCATCCCCAGTTTAATTTCAGGGATTCCTTGCTAACCTATTCAGCTTCCAACTGGAATTGTCTAATTCCTAAGGCCTTGGAAATATTCAGCTTGTGCTCTTGACATTAGGAGGACTGAGAACCACAGAGTCGGAAATTGTCCCTCACTTCCTCTTTCTTCCTCTGTGATGGCAAGGGAAGAGCAGGCTTTGCAGTGAGGCTTCAAGAACTTTGGGGACCATGAGATTGTGGTTACCTACTTGGGCTTAGGAAATTTAATTCAGTGCTATGATCCTGAACTAAGGTATTATAGTGTCATCAAAAAGAGAATTTGTCAAAGAGATTTTCCCATTGCTTCTGCTGCATGTTAGGGGAGAAGGAGATTTTACTAGGTAATTAAGAAGACTAGGTCTATTCAACTGTAAATATATAGATAGATATGTGCACTCCAAGGATCTCAAGGCAAACTCTGGGCAGTTTGGGCCCAACTGAAGCAAAATTCCAAATTTGAATAGATACAAGTTTTCTTTTATTCCCGCCTTCCTCCAATTTCTGAATGGAGCATAGATAAATGTAATTATGGATTTGTTTAGTTGATACCATGGAAATAATCTTGAAAGAAGGCCGTATGTAGAAGTGATACGGAGTTCACATGTTCTGTCTTGCTTTCTGGCAAATCATTTAGTTGACGCTTACTTCCTTATAAGCCATGCATTGTATTCTGCCTAACTCTTGGGTCCTTAGCTATTGTTCGTAATTAATTTTTGAATAGCATTGAAAGGGGAAACATGGTTATTAGAGCTCTGTAACATTTTGTACTCTAGAATATGGAAGTATTTGTCTGCAAAGTTAAAGTAGATGTGTATTTTTGTGGGATTTTATTGGGGACTGTGCTAGGAAGGGAAGTTTTGCAATCCCAGAAAAAGCAACTGCTTTTTGAGTTCCTCTATAGCCCCAAAGCAGCTTTTTGGCTTAAAATCTCTGCAGTTTTCTGGTGGATAAGATTGCTTTTTAAAGGGACCATACGTTAAACCTAGGAGGAAGGAAAGAAAAAGACTAGTTTCCATTGATTCCTCGTGATATAAAAAAGAGAGAAGATTTGCAAGATTCTGTTATTATTAGAAGTATAGTTCTAATATTCCTGTGGAGGCAGTTTCTTGATCTGATCTATCTAGTAGGGCTGACCATTTTTAATCACATTTGCTCTGGATCTTACCCTTGGAAACACTGCTCCATGGCAGGCTTGCTTGGGGGTGGGATATGTTCGGTTGGTTCCCATTAAAGTATCTCCAAGGCTGGGTATTTTGATAACCCAAAGTTATTTTTCAGCGCAGACCTCCTCCCAGGCAGCACTTAGGCCAAGTACAAGTTGAATAACCTTCAGGAGAGCTGTGCTGTCCTTCTGTCGGCCGCTGTCTTTGAAAATTGCCTGCAGAGTTAGTGAGCGGGAACAGTTAAGATTTACAAACAATGATGAAGCTTGTCACGCATCTTTCACCATTCATCATCTGGGTGCTGTGGCTGGGCGGTGAAGTGTTCTTCATAAAAACCAGCTCAGTGTGAAATACACCTCGCTGCAATGTTTACTGCTCTGAAACTCGTCAGAAGCCCTTTATAGTAAATCCAGATTGCGAGGTGACATTACAGTATATCATTGCACAGCGCGGTGGGGTTTACACTAGGAATGAATGCAGTTCACACCAGATGAGATGTCGAAATTGAGTTATGTAGGAATTTGGCTGTTATATGAGGATAGCTTTTGTTTTCTCAAGACTGAAAAGTTTTATTTTATATTTTTATATATATATATATACACACACACACACACACACACTCACACACACACACGTATACATATAAATATACACATACATACATATTATATGTATAGTGTATATATGGGTATATATGTGTGTGTGTGTGTGTTTCATTAATAAAGCTGGAAAAATACATGGGTGGATGGAGGAATGATTCAATGAATTAAGTGGTAGAACTACATACTTAGTTGTCCTTGGGTTATTTATATGTAGTTGGAAGTATTAATTTCTATACTTTCCTCCTTCTCTTCACTACTTTCTGTTGTTGCTTGTATACTTATTGCTGATTATTCATTAATTACGTTTTAACAAATATTGGCAAGCCTTGTTATCTGCAATCATAAATAAACTTATAAAATCTATCAACAAAAATACAATGTTCTACAATCCCAAACATCTTTTCTCCTATAACTCCTTAGTTATTATAAAACGAGGTGACATCATTTGCCAGAACTTAAGTTTTCAGTCGTATTACTTTTAAACATGGGGGTTTATATTGTTTTCCAATCATTGTAGCCATTCCATGAGGAATGTGGGCTTTATAGTTTGTACACCAAAGTTCAGATAAAAAAGAATTCACTCATTGAATTGTCATACTTTGCTGAGCAAAGTATTGGTCAAATTTTGCAGGGCACATTTGGTAGCTTAATCATATTATCCT